GTGGTGATTCTGAGATCCGGATAGATAAAAGGAAGTCTGGGATAAATTATGAATAGATGTCATTTGCTGCGCACATCCCTCTAATCTCAGGCATCCCATGGCAGTGCTGTAGTGATATGATTTGTTATGCATTGTATTACAGTCAACATAGTGTTTGCAGTTTATTAGGAGAAATTGAAGGCAGTGAGGTTCTCTTTATTGACAAAGCCTAAAAATATTTTTGTATTTGACACATGTTTCAGGCAATCACAGCTGGGACATTTATAGCTCTCTCTGCCATTGTCATGTTCTTAATCCAACCAATTTTTGCACCATCAGCTTTTGCAACCTTACAAACTGCTGCTAAAACCAGTGGAACTGCAGCTGCTGCAGTTGGTGGCAGAGTAATCCGTGGGGAATTACTAAGTAGCGCATGGACTGGTTTCTTTGCTGGTTGCTTACACACCCTTTCAGGGCCTGACCACCTCGCTGCTTTGGCTCCACTATCAATTGGTCGTACTCGAATGGAAAGTGCCGTTGTTGGAGCTCTTTGGGGCTGTGGCCATGATGCTGGTCAGGTTATCTTTGGATTACTATTCCTGCTACTAAAGGACCGCCTCCACATTGAAGTAATCCGAACTTGGGGTACAAGAGTGGTGGGCTTAACATTGCTTGCTATTGGGGCTCTGGGTATAAGGGAAGCTTCAGAAGTTCCTGCCCCTTGTGTTGCCTTAGAAAATGTTGAGTGTGATGTTAGGGTGTATGAGACACTTGAAAACCCAGCAGTTGGGAAAAAGAAGATTGGCTTTGCTACTTTTGCCACAGGGATCATTCATGGGTTGCAGCCAGATGCACTAATGATGGTTTTGCCAGCACTTGCTTTGCCATCTCGCTTGGCTGGTGCCGCATTCCTTATTATGTTCTTGCTTGGAACTGTAGTAGCAATGGGAAGCTATACAGTATTTATAGGCTCATGCAGTCAAGCATTAAAGGATAGGGTGCCCAGAATTACTGAAAAACTTACTTGGGCATCTTCCCTTGTAGCAATTGCTCTTGGAATTGCCATTCTCGTAAGCCAATTTTTTGGATATAGTCTCTATTGATCCATCTGACCCAGCATCAAGATATGCACTCGAGCTTCCTTTAGCGTTAGTGGTGATGTTAGAAAGGACATTCTGATTTGTTTGCAGCAAAATTTCATCTGCGCAGTATCTTTGTCTCAATGAGAATTCATTATCTTTACCTTATTTTGTTTATTTAACTAGTAAAACCTTAAAAAATTTCATGTTTGTTAAGCCATAAGCTGGCTATTTTTGCTTGAATTGCTTGACGCAAGTTTACATCAAACTTTTGCAGCACAGCATTAAGGGCACATACTAAGCATGCTGGAGAAATTGGGTTTAAAGCCAGCATTAAATCCTAACCTCCCATTCCATCAAATATGATGCATTTCTTATGGTCATGTATCAGCTGCGGCTGCGCAACTGGCTCAGCTTAGTACATTCTACTGCTTTATTTTTAGAAAAGAAAAAAAAAGTGTACAGACTCCTGCACTCGGGCTGTGCATATATACTCTGGATGATTGTACAATCCTAATTTTACGTTTCTACTCTTAGAAGGAGTAGGAAGTAATCCTCTTAAGCTGAAAATCGTGACCAATTATTCTAATGCACCTCCACCATCCTGGTTAGCTGGATGTCTGTGTCAAGTTCACGTTCTCTTATACGAACAAGAGACATCAAGTAATTTGATCAGGCAATTGAGCCCATGGACCCTATTCTACGAGTTTGTCTTCCATTTTTCACATGATTGGGGGCGAATACTCTATCTTAGTTTTCACTGTGCAACGAGCCATCTCAGCCGCAGTAGCTAACTATTATTGGTTCACTGTTGTCACTATATACGTAACCATGAACTTCCGATGACATTGCACTTGTACATTTCCGATTGTGTAATTTACGCCTCATCCTACATTTTGTCCCATTTAACATCGCTTAATCCACTAATCATTGGCGGATTAGAAAAGCCTTATAGTTAATGCACATGAAATGCCTGTTGGATTTACAATATACAATTACATTGGCTTAATGGAAGAGGCGGAAATGAGCAAGGCACAAAATATTATTCCCATTATGAAAAATAACAAAAAGCCTGCGTTAAGTCAGCAACTCGCATATTAGGGAATCCTGTGTCTATAAACAAAGAGATCTCCGGGGATCTATGGTTTGTCGATGCCAGTTCTGCTACATCAAACATGTGAAGGATTGAACTTCACATACATATCGCAGGATCTTAAGTCCCAGGCCACTCCGTCTCAATGTTGGTATCATCATTGTCAACCTGTAAGTTTTGTATTCATGAACTCGCAGAAGTAATAACAATAAATTTTGGCTATTAAGCCCATCTGGCACCAAATCAGCTTCTCCGACGAAGTGAAAAGTCACTGTTGGAAATCCCTCGAGGTCTAGATTTATTGTTCTCTCTAGCACAAAATACCTTCATTCTTAACACTTTGTGTCACCGTATCCTAGTATACTTTCGACTTTGTTGAGGAGTGCATCATACCCTTGCTTTATTAGCCAAGTAAAAACCGCGCAAGAATCAGTGATCTGTTCTCTCGTTTCCTTCTGAATATATTAGGATCTATTGGAAGCTTTTTCTCTCCGACGCTAATGCCTTCAAGAAGAACATGATAGTCGCCATCGATCACTTCCAAAGGTGTTACTTTCCATCACCCCTAACCAATTTGTTATCATTATAGCTCGGATCTAAAGCATTGCCAATACAATATGAGAACTTACCCAGTCGAGTTGCCAATGATGTGCGTCCGAAGCCAAGTCCAAATACTCCGCTGATTAGCTTATCTAGCTGGAGGTCTCCATTTAAGAAACTGCACCAAATATCACAACAGCCACGACGGTGAAGCCATCATTTGATATTCTAGCTAAGTTTCTCTGTGGCAAGGTTTCCTATTGAATCAACACCGTAAACATATGTCTGGTGGTATAAACATGGATCAGACGAGATGCACAAGGACTTAACACGTTGTGGAAAGATACAACACTAAGAATTGCGTGGCAATCTAGTATATGTTGAGGAGTTTGTAGAATTATATATGGCACCATACCGCTTGAAGCACTGGGAAGGCAAAGGAGACATTGAACCCATAGAAGGCTGCTTCCCGTATCCATTACTGCTAATTGAGGAATAGGCGGTTGGCCTATAAAAAAATTTACTAGAAAAAGGTTATGGTTAGGATCAAGGTAAGCATGAATATCGGTTGTGAGATCTTCACTCCTGTTATAAGGGGAATGAATGGAATCTCAGTGCAGAAGATATGGAGGACTTTGCAAGCTCTGGATGACAACTGTGATAGCTATGCTTTTTGTTTTTAAAGGCATTGAATTTATTGATAAGTCTCGCATAGAGACTACAAAAAGCAGAGCCTTTAAGGCTTGCATGTACAAAAGGGTCCTCAGATGAGGACTGGCAGATCATCAGAGGTGTCTGATGAGCCATGCTTATGCCATTTTTCAATGCCATTGTTCAGGTTAATCATGTAAAATTTGCTTAATGTCACCGTTACTGTGAGGCAGAAGATAGGAAGGACTTCGCAGGCTTTGGGAACTACCAGAATTGCGAGCAAAGTACATGAATAGCAATTTGTTGTCACCATGCATTTAGCATTTATTCATATGAATAGAAACGAATTCTTCATTTGTCACCTGTCCTGCCTTTTCTCCATACCGGCAACAACAAAACCACGATCATCATGTCTTGTTTCTCCAAGTTAAGTGGGATTTATATTTGAATTAGACACTACATATTAACCAATCTAGGTCCATATTAATCCCTTTTGTCTTGCACTGAAATCTGGATGAATAACCTTATAAGTGGCATAAACATGAATACATGATAATGATCATAATGATGACAAGTGGAATTCAAATCATCAACTTTTAGTTTTAGGAACCTTACCTCTGCTGATATTGATCTTGTATTGGTTCACGAGCCGTATGCCCATGTTTTTTATTCATGTTTATCGTCATTATCTTACTAAGCCTGATTAACAATTCAATTGAAGAATTGCAGTCTTTGCCACACTTGCTGTTTGTTTTTGTCAACTTGCCTAAGCTTATTTCTGCTATAAGGATCTTTAATTAAGCCTGCCACAATTATGTTTGTTTAATTAACATTCAAATTAATTTAAAATTGAAAGGTCAAATTTATCTTAAATTATTTATAGATATAATTTTCATGATATAATATGTTTATATAGATATAAACATTATATTAATATAACATTTACAAGTTCTTAGACCATTATGATTTGTTGAATTGACTTTGGTAATTGTACTTTGATTCTTTAATGCAGCATTTAAGTTACAGAACAAAGAGGTGGATTTTAATTAATTTTGCATCCTATCTATACATCAAAGCCAGAATTTAGAGATCCAGCTTGGGTGGAAGATGGGGTTTTAGTGGTTAGCTCTCAAATTCTAGAGGTTTTAGTGGTTGGCTCTCAAATTCCAGAATAAATGTTGGAAAAGCAAAGGCTCTCAATGCTGGATGGATGGATCTAATGTCTATCCCTCTTCATGTACAATTGTTTCCCTAGAGGATTCGTGCATCAAACCTCTAGACTACATTCGTTAATAAAAATTGACATTTGATTGCATATGTTGTAAATATCTGTAATGTGAATTATTCTTAAATTTATCAAGTAATTTTCAGGCTGAGATTGACAGTCCAATCATTTCTGCTGCCCTGCTTGTAATTTCTTCAACATGTAAATTAACCAGAGAGCAATCATGGCAGCCAGATAATAATTTTCTAAACCCACCATAGTACCAAATGGAAAAAAATAATCTTACGCTACTAAAAAGTAACAGTCTTAAATAAATGAAGGGATATATAGTCTAACACTATGAAAAAGTAATAGTCCTAAAAAAAACCAAGAAATATAGAAAGAAAAGCCAAGCCTAGGAAACTAAGTCATGTAAGCAAGCATGTAAACAAGCCTAAGAAACTAAGTCATGCAAGCAAGCTCGATAAAGCTCAGATGCTGCCTTTGCAACAGAGAGTTTGCCAGTAAGATCAGATTTCTCTTCCTCCAACCTGTGGCATTTTTCTTCAAGCTCGTAAAGAAGCCTAATGTAACGTTCCGTAAATGAAGATTCGGTGGAAAGCTTTGTAGAGAGATCAAGATTCTCCTGCATTAACTTGCGACATTTTTCTTCATATTCTTCAAAACAGGTTTTGTAAAACTGTTCAGATCGAGTGCACCAGGCTTTGTAAGATTCAATAGATGAGATTGCAGCATTCAGCTTAGAATGTAGATCATTTGTGTCTACTATCCACTTGTCGATGAAGCTCTGCCACTGGGAATGGTACTCAAATACCTGCAACTCGAGCAGACGGTAACGCTCAGCATAAGCATTTACCAGAGTCTGGCAATACTGAACATTTTCATCAGCATGAATAATGATTGCATTCAGAGCATTTTTTTCCTCATCCCATTTCTGACGCTCTTCAGCAAAACCTTTTTCAATGGCTTTGTAGTATTGAAGGGACTGCGTAGCAACAGCAAGCTTTTCACAAAGTTCACCTTTCTCATCTTTCCACTTGACACGCTCTTCTTCCAAAGACTCAACTGCAGCATCCAACTTTGTACGGAGATATTCCTTTTCCTCATTCCAGTTGAGGCGTTCTTCTTCAATGACTGGGTAATGCTCCAAGTTCTTAGTAACGACATCAAGTTTTGCATCCCACTCCCTTTCAAATCCATTCTCTGAGAAAAGCTTACAAAGTTTAGTTGCAACCTCAAGTTTTTGGGTCAAGTCCTTTCTCTCTCGCTCGCAGGTAGCCACTAACTCCGGCATTAAATCGGACGATTTTTCCTCTCGCTCGTCGGACGATGACATTGACTTTCCTTCATAGTCAGACACTAACTCTGGCATTGAGTTTGACATTGATTTGGACGATGAAAGTGACACTAACACTGGTAACTCTGGCATTGAATCGGATGATTTTTTCTCTCGCTCGTAGTCAGGCACTAACTCTGGCATTGAGTCGGACGATGAAATTGACTTTCCTTCATAGTCAGACATTAACTCTGACATTGAATCTGAAGCAAAAGACTGATTGCTTTGTTCTTCTTCCCAACTTCTTTTATCACTGTCATAGTTACTTGTAGCCTCTTGATCTTCTGCTCCTTTGAGAGATGCAATTGAAGCACAAAACTTTGCATCAAGAATGTTCTGCACCTCTTCCCAACTGCTGTCACCATCACTTTTATAGTTGCCTATAACTTCATCTGTTGTCTTTTGATTGAAACAAGGTTCAGTTTCATCAAAAAACGTTTCTCTGAACACTTTTTCCCAACTGTGGTTAACACCATTAAAGTCGTTTGCAATTCCCGCTTCATCTTTGACTTCATTTTGAATATTATCCTCTATCTTCCTAATTTCTTTCAGTCCTCCATTGCATGCAACTTTCTCTTCCTTCAGATGATCATCCACAATCTTCTCGAAGTCTTGAACATCCTCCGCTGCCTCAGATTTGTTATTTCTATCTTCCGTTATCTTAAGCTCCTGTCCATGGCCCGCATCTTCCTTTTTGAAGTCTATATGTGAACTTAACATAGTGTCCCATTCTGATAAGCCATCAATGAACCATTTACGTAACCCTGTACGTTGCTTAAAGTTTCTGGTCATAGCAGATATCTCTTTCAGGCTCTCATATTCGACCATAGCTTCCTCTTTCTTCAGTATTTTCCCATCCTTCCAAGGTTCCTACACAACATTAGCAATTTCGTTACTTTCCAATAGAAGAAATTAGACCATGATTTTAGTTTATGCAAAGCATAAAATTTTCAAAATTCATGAACAATAATCTTTGAATTGAAGCTTCTTTTTGAGTAGGATGTCATTCTATTAACCACACATACAAGAAGCAGAGAAAGGAAACTCAAACATGAAAATATATATATATATATTTAAGCACTCACCACACTGGGGCTGTTGGTTTGGAAAATAGGACTGTTATTCATCGGAAAAGCTGTCTCTTTATCTCCATTTTCAGTTACCAATCTCGGTAAGCATTCAAAGTCACTGTCACTGGTAATAGAATCCCTTGCATAGCTAGCCTCCACTTCCTGATCAATATTCTGGCTAGTTTCCTAGAAAACGTTAATTTTCTTTACATTAGAAGTACTTTTAAGAATGTTTCGATTTTGCTACTAGAAAACAGTAGTCAAAGTTAAGAATCTTTCCTTTGAATATGTATCCTCCAATCAAAGACACAATATGTATTTCAAGTACTTACTTTTGCATTAGGGGTGTTGGTTTTAGACGAAAGGCTGCTATTCATGCTCGATTGCGGTTCTACTTCTGTCCTTTCGAGGTAAGAATGAATCATCGCATGGTTTGTCAGTATCAGGACACACAAACCTATGAGTGCCGGAATGATAGCAAGCCTAGTAGGTCCATCAGGAAGAACATAAGGCAGTATGATTGCAAGAATGGCCGGTCGCTCGATATAAAACGCTATATCAGGTTCCTACAATAAATTCAAACACACCCGAAACAATTAATATATTAAAAAGAGATATAAAAATATATGAAGTTATTCAATTCTGTTTAATCAATATTTTTACATTGCTTACACGTAAATCTAATTAATTTTCATTCCTCGAATCTTTATAATAAAAAATAAATAAAAGAAAACTTTACTATATCAGTTCTTACGAAAAAGAAACGACGGATGAATTGTCGTTCAAAGGAGAGAGCTAAGTAAACCGCATTGGTGAGGAGAAGCAGCACGGCAGCAGAAAACAATGGAAGTTTGAGCAGCGTGGCAGACCATGGAAGTTCGGAATAGGGAAACATAAGAACTAGTTTGGAATAAGGAAATATAAGAACCAGTGGTATAATGGCTAGCCGCTCGAACCAGAACATGTACCTCTCAATCCCATGAATATCTTCGATTTGCATTACGCTGCTCTCCTGATTCGCCATGGTTTCACACCCTCCAACAAGAAACTGGGAGAATAGCTTGGGGTTGTTTCCTCTCTCTCAGTGTTTATTAGAGGGTTTAGGGTATTAGAGTAAAAGTCTAATACTGAAATCAAAAGTTGTTATCCAATAGAAAAGGAAAGATCCACGCAAATCATAATCCAATCACTTTAACAGCCCTTGGCTTGCTGAAAAAGTACCGAACCCAAAATCAAGAGAAGATCAATCGTACCATACCTCAAATCCTGAAAAGATAAAAGAGTTAATTTTGCTAAATATTTTATAAATATCAAATTAAAATTAGTCTTGCTAAATAATTTAAATAATAGTTTTTCAATTTTTTAAATAGTAAACAAGGGACTGAAACAAACAAATTAAGAAATCCAAACCCCAGAGGAAAAATATCTCAAGTTAATTTTGCTAAATATATTATGTATGTCAAATTAAAATTAGTTTTGCTAAATATTTATTTTGAGCTCTTAAACATCGTTTAATTCGAGAGGACAAAAATGAGGTCAAAACATATATATCCTCTTAGAGTTTAATTAATATCCAGTATTCTGAAAGAGCTAAGGTCAAAAAATTTAATTTTCATTCTTCGGATCTTTATAATAAAAAGGATTAAGTTTCTTAAAAAAAATTAAAAAATTACTCTATTAGTACTGGACTGGACTCTAAGGAGAAATCCTAAAATTGAGTACAGGGATAACCTGGCTTGACTGATTGATTGTTGGGTTACAATTTCTTTGTTCCGTTAACAGCCAGTTTGTTGCCTAGGGTTTGGATTAAAGATTTAGCCTGCTTCTTTCTTTTGGATTCGATATCACATTATTGTCTATTGTTTCATTATTTTATGTATCCACTTATTGTATTTTCAATAATTTCAGTATATCATTCTAGCTAACATATGAACGTTATTATTTATTAAATATTTTGTTTTCAATTGGGAACAAAATTTATAAAATAGGGAAGGCCCTAATAATTATATATTTGGTTCCTGCAAATATTTATGAAGGGCCTTATGCTTGAACTTTACACAAGTATTTCAGCTTTGCAGATATATAGATTGTTCAGAGGTTGACATTTTGGGAGTTGCGGAAAGCCAAGGAAGCTGGAGAGGAATTCTTGTGGAAATTAAGGAAAATGTTTTCATATTTCATATTTTACCCACCCATATTTGTTGACACCAGGCAGGCATTTGAGAAAATGTTATCAAAGAATAATAGTTGATTTGCCCTACTGTTTGGGTGATACTGTGTTTTAATCAAGAGAATGTTAGCCATGGATGTCTGTCAAGTTCACGTTCTCTTAGACTGACAAGAGACATTTGAGCCCGATTCAACAATTTTGTCTTCCATGAGAGCGAAGTCTATCTTAGTTTTCACTGATATTTGATCAAACCAAAACCCTTCTCTCCCCGGCATTGCTCTTGTACATCTCCCGTTGTGTAATTTATGCCTCATGCTACCTTTTGTCTCATTTAACATGGCCGAATTTAGCAATCACTGGCCCCGTAGAAAAGCCCTATACTTAATGCGTATGGCTTAGTGGAAGATTGAACTTCACATACATATCGCAAGATCTCCGGTTAGTCTAGTAAATGGTTCATGCCAGATTGCTAAAAGACCAGTACCTGCTCATGGCAAGTCTTGATGCATGTAAAAATATATGATAAATGATATGCAACTCATGAAAGAAATTGAATATGTAAGCAGTAAGATAGTCAGATTCAGGCTGACGAGATTAACATGTTGATGTATGTGATAGATTAAAAAAATTTTACAAAAAATTTGTGTCATGTCATAAATATTAAAATGAACAAAAATATATAGTATAAAAATTAAATTAAATAAAATTAAAATGTTAAAAGAGATTAAATTAAAAAATATATAAATATAAATATTTAAATAGATGATAAATATATTTATTAATAAATTAAATATTTAAATGTAAAAAATTTATAATGTTAAAAAATATAAATTTTTTACTTGATTATTTTATCTTAGAATATATATATATATATTTAAGTATAAACATCCTTGGCATGAAGATTGTGAAATCACGCAGTAGGAGGCCAATAAGTATGGGGACAACGTGGTGTTTGTCATCCTCGACGACAAGTTAAAACAAACCAATTGACAAGGTTCGTTGCCGAAAAGAAGCTTTCATGATCACTCTCCTCAACTCTAGAAGCAAGCTGGGCAGCCCTGGGCTTGATGTACAAAACAAGCAGACCATAGAGCATGCGAATGTTTATATATAATAATATATGGGTATAGTCCATAGGCATGGGAAGGAAAAAGAAGAAGCCAAACCTGGGATCGATCTAAGTATTCAAAACTTGGGCCGTGTTAACTTATTCATTTTGCTGCAGAGGAGTAGACGACCAGACTGGCAACTAGTATTAGTTTAACTGTCAAATAATCTGGGCTTATAGGGAAAAGGACCTTCCTTAATTGGATGGTCTTGCCCTCTGGCCCAAAGAAAATGGTCACACTTCATATCTCAAGTCCACTAGCTTACCCTTTGCTGTGATCAGTTTGTTCCTTTCTGACCCGAAATATTAGTACTAATAAGAAAATAAAGCGAAAATCTTACTTTCATTCTTTGAATCTGCCAAAATTCGAAGCTTATATAGGTCTACAACTCATAATTTATTGTTTGGAGGAGAAAAGAAAAAGGCAAGGGGAATTCTCTGTGGGACTCCTACATGGTACCATGGAAACCAAGGCATTCCATTGTCGTTGATTAAGTGAAGAAGACAAAACATGAAAACTCAGAGCTAGGGCAATTCGGCTAACGTGTTTCTTCTGCGTTATCAATGAAACAAAATGGCAGTTCCATCAGAAAATTTATAACTAAATAAAAAACAAATTATCAGTCTCAATTCTAACCATTAAGGAACTTTGCCAAAGCCGACCATTTGGGTCAGACTTCACAGGCCTTTATAAGTATATATTCTATAAGTGAAATTTATCTCATCCCAAATTTTTGCTGTTTAATATATATGTTTGGTTTTGGAGTTTTAGGCCTTCGCCATGGCAACTGTTGCCATCACTCTTATTCCTTTCACCACCTCTTTAGTGTTAATCAATGATTAAGGGACCACTCCCCGTTGAATATTTCCAGCACCCTTTCCTTTCAACAACATATATTTAACTCATCTTTCTATGTATTGGGTCAGGAACATTCCAGATCGATTTCACTTATTTTTAACTGTTACATAAGTAGAAAAATGAGTATGACATGTTTACAACCAGGTTTTGCTGGTTATTGTGCAGAACTTCTATTCTTTTTTCTTTATTATTATTATTTTTATCTGCAGGACTGCAACTTTGACTATTTCCCATTGGTTTGAGGAGGAAAGGCAGGGATGCTAGATAGAATAAGAATCACAGAGGAGAGAGGAGACAGTGACAAAAGACATGGATTCCCTATAATAACCTACACGTTCCTGGATAAAAACAAGCCAAGGGTTTGAAGCAAGACTAAAACTTCAAAAGAAATCATGTCCAGAGTCTTAGAGGTAATTGAGTTTGAAAAAAAAAAGCTTATTGAAATATCAAAACAGCTTTTACACAACTTTAACAGCAAATATTTGTTTTATAGTTCCCCACTTGAATTGAGAAAAAATTGCCCAAGCACCCCCCAAGCCACTCTTGATTATGGTCCCCCTGACCCTTCTCTATAACATGCTTCCAGTTAGATAAGACCATGCAACGCAATGGCCCCATTGCCCAATTTTGGGTTGTCCCCACCATTATATTCCTGTGTTTGATTGAATGCTATACGAGCATGGTATATTTTGTAATTTACCTATAGGAATTGCAGTGAATTTTTTGAGATACAGAGGCTGTACCTATCGGAAGTTTGGCATCTCTCATCACGAGAGTCCCGAAACTCAAACTAATTAACCTGTTGAGAAATAATTGCTACCGCCTGCCATGCTTTGTACTTTGCTTTCAATTTTGGCAAACGCCTGGACCGGAGGAGCTAATCGTCCTCCTATTTAATAATGCTTAATCTTTCTTTCTTTATCTGCTAAAGTACAGTCCACTTAATTACTCTTGATGACATTTTAAATAGACCTACTCTACCCAGCTGTTGGCTTTTTGAACGGCTTTTGACATGTATTTTCTAGTTGGCGACGTATAGTTTTTCCTCTAAAAGCAAGGCTAATTCTGGCTAATTCGATCTCCTAACCATATCAATGTATAACCCCACGGTATATATCAAAGTATGGCATAAATAATTGTGCATCTATTCTCTGTCAATTCTCAGGCATCTAGTTTGTTTTTTCTTTCCTATGACTTTTGGCAGGTGATTCTGAAATTATGACTCAACGCTGGAAAAGATCCTCTGCTGTGATTCGAAGTAGGACTCGAGAGATTCCCACTCTCAAAAGGGGTGATTTTTTTTTTTTTATCATTGTAGCATATCTTTGAAACCCCCCTGCTGCGACAATTAAAAGAAAACAAATCCAAGTTAAGCCCATTCTTAATTTTTGGGGGTTGGTTTAACAAAAAAAGTTGGCCAATGGCGGCTGTGACGAGAGTGACAAGAATCAGGAAGTGTGTCGTCAAACCCAAGTCGCAAGAAGCAATGGCTGGAGCTTGGCATTATCTAGTAGTAGTAATGGTATCCTTTTCATATTTCCCAAGAACCAACCAGGGAAATAAAAACAACCTTCCAGCTAGCGGAATTGCGGCAAATGGGATTGATATGACGTCATTGTCTGGGCATGCAAAGAAATAAAAAAAAAAAGCACATCCCCATGGAAGCAACCACAAAGTCCTTTCCAAGAAAGAATTGATCAGGATTTTTGCAAAAATATGCAGTTGGAATTCGATTCTCTTTGGAAAATAGCAGGCTGAGGGTTGCTTTCAGAAAGGTTAACCCCCCAACAATACTTTGGACCCCACGCTTTAACGTGCTTTAGGAGATATCAGGCTTCTAAGCTGTAATTATGGCCACAGAAAATTTTGAAAATTTGAATACAGACATTACCTAAAAACTGAAAATGATCACTTCAAGGTGAGTGTTGTGACCGTTGATGGGAATTTAATTTTGGAAAGCGTGGGGGAACGGTCCCCCCCTTCCTTCCCGTTCTTTCAACGGCTTCCTGCGGAAGAATCCCGAAACATCTAGCCGTTTTTCAGGCGTTGCACACGTGGCATAGACGCTTGTTTAAACTTAAACCTTCATGGTTTTTCTTTGGTTTTCCGGTAAGAAGTTAGCTTGCGTCTCGGTGAAGGTTCCAGAACTTTTTAAAAAAAAAACTTTAGGAAGAGATGTATGTCAGGGTTACGAATTAAAAATAAATCTGATATTATAAAAATTATTTAAAAATCAAAATTTATCTTATTAATGTAGCATCGGTAACATACACTTATCTAATAACAGAAATATATATATTGTGTCTTGAGCTCTAAAATAAGGATATTGGAATAATAAAGTAACAATTCCTTCTTTTTATTTATTCTCTGAGATTTCGACAGTATAGGAGTAAGTCTTTTTTGTTTTGAAAATAAGAACAAAATCAAATTAAAATTGATGTTACAAAAAGATAATATATGTTAGCCAAAGTTTATTTTAATTAATACATTATCTGTTTTTTATATTTCATATAAATAGCTGATTAAATAAAATCCATTATTTTTTTAAATTCAATGTAAATAGTGGATTGAATAAGATATAAATTTCAAAGTTTATATTTGATACATTATTTGTGTATAATATGTATATATTATTACTTAACTATAAACTGTTATTTCATAAATATGTAAAAATAAAAAATAAAAAATATTCAAAATAAACAATTTTACATTCATGAGTATTTATTTTTAAAATTTTTTAATTTGTTAATTTATTTATTAATGGTATAATAATATTTTAATTATATAATAAAAAATAGTGAGTATAAAGTATCCGTATTCCCCTTGTTACAAGCAAATGCTACAACTGCAAGACGGAGAGAAAAATACAGTCTTGTTGAAGTACATGAAATTGAGGAAAATGGCTGACAAATTTAGTAAAGATTACTTTCGTTTTTCGCATAAAATTTGGGTAGAGAAAGAAAACAAAAGCCAGCGAAGGTCCACGAACATGAAAAGCCGGGGTCGTGACGTGGACTGGTTCCAGATTAAAAAAAGAAAAAGAAAAGAGATAAGCACGGTGGTGGGACCGTTTTACCCCGAATGTGCCGCAGCATCATCCGTGATACTCTTGCCAGCTGTTGCCACGTGATCCTTGATTAATACGATTACTATTAATCATCTGAAGGCCCCACCTTGTTTCCAATGATTAACGCCAAAAGCAACGAACCAGACTTTTTCTAATTTCGGAGAATGTTTACACCCGCCTGGACCTGATCCACCCTTTAACCGATGACAAAATTACTGTAGACTATAATTTATTTAATCAATCGAAATGACTCTTTTACCCTGAACAATAAAAATAAAAAAAACCACGAGCAGTAGGTCATTTATGGAAAGGAAAGAATGGTTCCGTCCATGGAGGGAACACGGCTCTGTATGTGCATCAGCTGCAGTGAATCGTATGTTCAGTCTCTGCTAAGTTAATAAATAAATAAGTCCGTTGAAGGATAAGGACAAAGCAATCAAAAGCAAAGATGGCAAGACTAAATGACATATTTGGACGATGATTCTACATAATAAATAAATGCTCTCCCTGCAACCAACTAATAAATAGAAAGAATGTTGGGGAATGGGGCTGCTTTCTTTATTTCATTAATGATCATCCACTGCTTTGCATTAACAACAAGACAATTAATAATCATGCATGAAATGCCCGTTTGAAAGCATCATTTTCTTATTAATCATTCATCATTTCCATCATTGTTACAAGCTCATAGGTACCTTAAAAATTTTTACATACTGTAACTAATGAAATCTTTAAACACTCATTAACTAGACCTTTTTACATATTACAAACAACTTAAATATGTGACGAGTTTATTGATTTAATTTGTCGCTAAAAAAACCTTCATGTTTATTTTATTTTTTCTAATGACATATAAACCTTGGCCACACAATTAAGTTTAATATAGTTGTAACTTGTAAGTTCAATGGGATGGTACTTCAATTGAAATCTGTAGATAATTAGAGAGGAGCTAAATGCTACTTATATGAGAACTAATTAGATTGCTCCATTGGAACAATAAAATTTGAATAGACGTTTCTTTCATTTTGAGCAAGTTTTTTTTTTCTTCCAAGTTAAGTTTAGTTATAGTTAACGTGTAGTGACTCACATTTTATATTTAGAGAGGTAGAAAATAATGAGATTCTATATATCAATCGTATCACCATTGAAATGCATCATTTAGCTTAGAAGAAAAATGAAAGAGAAAACCATATGATGTATCACGGAAAGAAGGGGGAGGGGGGGGCCCGAATGGGTTGCCCAAAACGGAGACATGTAAGGGACAGATTAGGAAATTCATGTAAAATTAGGAGAAAAAAAAATGAAAAAAGAAGGGAGAAAAAAGACAAGATATAACCGTTGTAGGCGTGGCTTTGGTTGGATGCCAGGCTGACCCCCGAGCCCTACACAGAGATGATTAGCCCTCACATGGTCTCGCTGTACAAACCTCTTTGGTCCCACTCTCCAATCCCTCTTTCTTTCTCTTCTAAAAAAGGCCATAACTTTTCTTTTTTTTCTCTCATTTCTGTGTCTCTCACTAGAGAAAACCCTTCCAGTTCAAACAACTAATTTTTTATTTAAAAATGATTTTAGAAAACCAATGTTTATCCCAAAAGTACCCTTGGCTTATCCATAAATGCACAGTTCCCCTGCCCTTGAGACGAGTTTAAAAGGAGTGAGTTGAGAGGGCGCTTGGGTACACGCAGAAACCACACAAACAACACATACACAAGCAGAAAAGGCTTGAAGCTTGGAAGCTCCAAGGAGGTTGTTTTATGTTTTTGCTTGTGAAAAGGAAAAGAAATGTCGAAGGAAGTGAGTGAAGAAGGACAGAGCCGCAAGGACTATGTGGACCCTCCACCAGCACCACTTGTTGACATGGCTGAGCTCAAGCTCTGGTCTTTCTACAGAGCACTCATAGCTGAGTTCATAGCCACTCTCCTTTTCCTCTATGTTACCATAGCAACTGTAATTGGCCACAAGAAACAACATGATGCATGTGATGGGGTTGGTCTCTTGGGTATTGCATGGGCTTTTGGTGGCATGATATTTATTCTTGTTTACTGCACTGCTGGTATCTCAGGTAAAGAAACTCTTTAACTATCTATTTTCTAGTTAGTAAATGCAGAAAATAAGAAGTACCCATGTATTTTTGGGTGGTTTAGTAAAAGGGTTTCGGTTGTTTTGGTTGCAGGTGGTCACATTAACCCTGCAGTGACTTTTGGGTTGTTTTTGGCCCGTAAGGTGTCTCTGATGAGGGCTGTTGCTTACATGGTAGCTCAGTGCTTGGGTGCTATCTGTGGAGTTGGGTTGGTTAAAGCTTTCATGAAGCACGATTACAACTCCCAAGGTGGTGGTGCTAACATCGTGGTTTCTGGCTACAACAAGGGAACTGCTTTGGGAGCTGAGATTATTGGCACTTTCGTACTTGTCTACACTGTTTTCTCAGCCACTGACCCTAAGAGGAGCGCCCGGGACTCCCACGTCCCTGTACGGAACTTCTCTTCTGTTTTCTCCGTTATTTTTGCCATTTTTGTCACATTTAGGTGTTGTGCTACCTAGTTACTAGTTGGTTAGGCTAGGATCTGATGCCTTTATGTTGTGGCTGTGTGCAGGTGTTGGCTCCCCTTCCTATTGGATTTGCCGTTTTCATGGTTCACTTGGCTACCATCCCCATCACTGGCACTGGCATCAACCCTGCTAGGAGTATTGGTGCTGCTGTTATCTACAACAACGAAAAAGCCTGGGATGACCATGTAAGTTCACATACCAATTTTCGTTTTCACTGTGACTTAAAAATGGAGTTAGTTTCTCAATTAACACGTGATATATTGTGATGACAGTGGATTTTCTGGGTTGGTCCTTTCGTCGGAGCACTCGCAGCAGCTGCATATCATCAATACATTCTTAGAGCTGCAGCTATCAAAGCCTTGGGATCATTCCGCAGCAATCCCACCAACTAAAAAAAGCTCATGGAAAAATCAAAATAACTTTATCCGTGCTTCTCTTTTTTCTTCATTTGTTCTTTTGTGTGTACGAGAGAAAGGATGAGAGGATGACTATGAAGATCTTTGGTTTTTTAATTTTTTTTAAAATTTAAATATTTTGTTGTTAGCTTTGGCATCTGTATCATTGTTCTTTGGTATGTTATTAGCTTTCATCTTATCGTGTTTTAACCTTTAATAGTCAGAGAAATTCGATTCCTTATCGTGTGCATTCTAGTACAATATCTACACAATATATAATTTGGAGAACCTAAAAGTGGCTTGGCTAATTCTACATAACAAGTAGGGGTTCACGTTATACAATTGACACGCCAAGCTTTGAATCAAATCTCCTTGCAATCTTTGCCTTGTCTTAATGCTTTGGCAAAGGGCATAAAGGCAATTTGGCTTGATGGATATCCCTTGGTTTAAGGTACAATGTGTTGTTGCCTTGTCTTTTGCCTCATGTGAGGAACATTGAACGCCTTTTGAACTGCCTCTGATTGAATGACACCTGTCTGGGAGAGGTCAGTAGGAAAGGGCCAAAGATGCTGCCCCTCCCTAGGAAAGGGGATTAAAAAGTGAAAACCAAGTCTGCCCCTGACTCCTTTTTAACGTCTCTGGAAAGGTCTCTTCGGGACGCTGGCTTGTCAATCCTTTCTCTCCTACTTTGGGACCAGGGTCCATCCAATGGGGACTAAAAACTAACCGAACCAAAAGCAGAAAATGAAAGAAGCAAAGGGCAATCCGAGGACTTCGCCTACAAATGACGCCACGCGTCATGGTATAATGGGGTCGGATGTCATGGTAGCACATGGGTGGGGTATCTCTTCTTATCCTGTCAAAATCGGCTACCACAAAAAATGAAGCCAAAAAACTACGTACCACAAGGAAGGGAATTGCTTTCCCTCCCTGTAGCAGTAGTATATAATTTTCTGGTTTTATGGGGAGTCCAAAAGAGAATCATAGTCTCGTCTTTTTACGAAAGGTACATGGCCTGATGACGATTGGAAAACACGAATATTGAAAAAAAAAAATTGCAGGCTCAACATTGAACCAATGGACCTCGCGGGATGGCTCACGAGGGGTGCCGAGGTCTCGTGGTCTAAGCTTTGGTTCCCCAATTGCTCACGGTCCCCGTCTTGGATTCTTTAAAGAAGTAACTTTTCTGCATAGGGTTTTCTCCCCTCTCTTACGAACCCAGAGTCTTTTATGTGAGGAGACGTGGCTCTCATGTGCGCCAGTTTGGTAAAAAGGGCGTTGGGGGGACGACTGCCCCTACCATTTCCACTAGGTCTAAAACCACCTCGATTATCCGAATATTTGGTTGCCACCAAACGAACAGAAAGTTACCCTTCAACCTACCGGGGTCCGCTGGGGTGGGGGAGGAGGGGTGCATAGCCACAGTGCTCTTTAAGCTCTTAGCGGGAATTATTTTGGTTGGAACCTATGACGTTTGGTGCAACATCTTTTCTCTCCCCTATCTTACTCTCCTTCAACAGCCAACGACCTTTCTAGTGTTGGGAGAAAAACAAACATGTAAAACATGTGCTACATGACTTGGATGAATACAAACATACCAACATCTTGCAGGGTTCCTCAACTCTTAATCAGATAGCCCATGACACCACAAGAGTTTCTACTCGTGCAAGAACATCAGGCACTGCTTGAATCGCCTCTAAGAATACATGTTGTGCCGAAAGACTTCTGATCTCAATCCCTGTAATCTCATGACAATTACCCATTTAAGAGGCTGCAACCAACAACCTGACTGACTCAATACAAATGATCATGCAAAGCATAAAAAAATTCAAATTTCATACCAACGGTACAATGGAATTAACTTTTGTCTATTACATTATCATATTAAATTTCGTTAGCCGTTAGGTACAGCTAGATGAATCACAGGTAACATACAATGCAAACTGAAGTCCTGGAAGAGTTATCCTATAGGCTCGAATTAGTTGCAAGGTAGTTGTAACAAGTTAAGCAGTTATCCTAGGGAATCAATTGATAAATACTGCGCCAGACAGAGGGAATGTCAGAATTGAGGCCTAGGGCTCAGTTCCCCCCACAGTCTGTTCTGGACTAGTCCAAGTCATGCTCGCCCAAAGAAAAACAAACAAACAAAGGCTAAAAATAGATTACTCAAGCGAGGAGCATGAAATACATTTCCAAAGATACCAGTATCAGCATCAGATTCACTAAGACCCAGTCAAAGCAGACTGCCAAGTTGAGTATCTCTGAAAATAAAAACCCATACATATTCATAGATATATGAAGGCAAGGAAGCCAGGTGTAAGCCTTTGATGTTTGCTCAATTAGACAAAGGCATTCAAACAAAGCATTACAATGAGCAATATACGTTAGTCAGGCAATGCAGTTCCTCGTTCAAGATTATTTTTAATTTCCAGTGTGTATTTTCCAAAGGCTCGCTCAATCTTCTTGTTGAAATGCTCATTACGATCATTGATTGAATCAATATCCTTCTCTTCATGAAACTTCCTCCTCCTGCTAAATGACTTGCGCTTTTCCTCCCGGTCCTTAAGTTCTTTCACCATCTTGTCAATCTTATCTTCAGAAATCTTAGGTGCCTGTACAACAAAAGAAACACACGTTGAATATTTCAAACACATTGGCCTGGTACTAGTAAAGAAACTTGCAACCTTTTCCCTCTACTTTTTTCTGACTGACCATACCTTCCCATATTGGAGGCTGGAAGCTTCACGGTAAAACTCTGGATCACCTTCTTTCATTTTGTTATATTCTTCCAGGTCAACATCAACGTTCTTTGTCCGTTTTTTGTATGCATTGTACAATGTCTTCTGATTGAAGACTGTTAACTCCCTCCATAAAAAACACACAGATTAGACTCATTGACATGTTAAGAGCTTCAATCCTATAGCAGGGATAAGAAATATATATATTTATTTATTTAAAATTTTGCCAATAGGATAAGAACTCCCAATCAGCATATATACAATTCTGAAAATTGAACAAGGCATGCTTCAACAAAGATGAGAATGCGTTGGACAAATTTTATGGGCCTGTAATATTAGCAGTGAGATGTGTATATGCATAGAAAGGCAGTAAGACAGGAAAGTTGTTGAAACAATAGAAAGAAGTAACAGAATGAACCATGAAACAAAACAATGAAGTAACCAAGGGAATCGAAGAAATGGTGAATTTAACAATTAGTAGGAGACAGCATACCATCCCAACCAACTGGAGCAGGATCCTTTTCCCATTTCTTATATTTTGCCTCTGCTGCCTCTTGTGTATCGAGCATATATGCTTTTTGCATATCCAAACCATTTGCATCTAGAAGTTTTCCTATCTTCTTCTTCCTTTCCTCGAGCCATTTTTGCTTAGAAATTCCTCTAGATTCTGGTGGAGCTTCCATTCTTTTCTTTTCAGCCACCATTGCTGTTTGATTGGCTTTTCTTGCCTCATTCTGGAAGCACATAGTCATCATTGATAATCAGTTTTTACTTTTCATGAAACTAAAAGTAGAGATAAAAGGATGACAAAACAGAACAGCTTCTCTTTGAAAGGTTAAGCAAACTAACCATCTTTAGTCTCAACTCAAACAATTTTGTTTGCCTCCCAGTAAGTTTTGTAATGTCTCCTTCAATGTTCTCCTCAACAGGGCGGTCATTATCATCATCAGAATTTTCTTCTGGTTCTGGTGCTCCATGTTCTACATCTTGTTCTTGAAAAGCAGCACGTTCGGCAGGCTGGCCACGCTCAGGTTTCACAGTGTCTGTTACAACATGAAGAGAGATTAAATTAATAGAAATTGATTATTCTAATGAGTACCAAGGGAAAGGCAAGGTAGACAAACCATTCATATAGAATTATAAGAACAACATTTAAACCTGATTCTTCTTTATCCTTTTTCCCCTTTGCTTCAGCAATCTTCCTAAAGCAATACTCAACACATTCATGGTAAGGATTTGACGCATTAATACAATCCGGATGCACTCTTCGCTCTTCTACCATGTTTATTTCTAGCTTTTACCTGAAAAATAAACTAAAACATATAAGGCAGATCCAAATTCCAGTGTCAATGTTGGATATATTCAATAAAATCAAAAGAAAATCTTAAACTATATTTCATTCTTTTAGCAAGAAAATTATACAGAATTTTCATTGATGCAAAGCTAGCAATCATTAATCACCAAATTATTCGGAAATTTAAAGTAATTAAAAAAATTACTATTCAAATTCCCAAGTATCAAACTTAGCTGTTCAGTGATTATATTACATCGAATAACATGAAATTTTCTTTCAGCGTGATTTCTCGGCAACCGAACAAGATTTAAGTGAAACCCAAATAAACCCTAGAAATTTCGAAAACGATAAAGAGAGATTATAAAGGGAGAGAAACGAACCTGATTGCAAGAATTCTTCGATCGATTTATACTTTCCCCTTCGGTTAGGGTTTTGTTTGGGTGATGGCAAAAAGACCTTAATTATAAAATATTTTGTATTTTATACTTGCGAAGAAATTTATATCTATGAACAATTTGTTTTAGACGGGTCGGCTGTGAATCCAACTCGGGTCAAGCTCGGACCCAAAAAGCCCAAGACTCGAAAGGCCTGATGCCCAATTGATTAAAGGCCAATACCACTACTAAATGGGTTGGTCACTGTGGGCCGCATATTGTGACGTATATTATTCATTGGGTGCAAGTATTGGCCAATTTTTCCCTTCCTTGTATCGATTTTATTGAATTATTAATTTTTTATTGATTTCTTTTTTGATATTAACTTTACATGTGTTTAAAATTTAGAAAAATATAAAAATTTATTGATTTATATTTAAAAAAAACACCTCCCGTGACGGAGTGCCTGGATTTTTTTAGTAATAGTACTAGTAATAATTTAAAAAAGAATAAGTGATTCTATGTAATTATAGAACAATGTTCTTAACTTATTTAATAAATCGAAGTTTAATGAATAGATTAACTTACCCATTTGTCTTTATATGTCAAAAATATCATAATATGTATGTCAATGTTTGAATATGAGGCAAAGGTAATAAAGACAGGAGTCAGAGAGAAAGGAAGATCATGGGAGAGAAATGATTCTGCGTTATTGAACTGTTTTTATATTATTATTATTATTTCTTTAAATTACTAAAAGAAAGTTTAATCAAATGATTGTACAGGATTCAGGCTATGCAAAATGCAACCCCATTTTTATGCAGTACTACATGTATAGCACCCACACATTCTCAAGCCTTGAGACTGAGATCAAAGACTACTTTTCTTGACAGTTAAAAACTTATTCCATAAAGGCTAGTATAAGATCAGACAGCACTTAAAAACAAGTATCCAAAGTATCAATTGCTCTACACAAACTTCATTCTTGAGACTACTAAACAAAAGGGTAAGATGGAAAGTATATTGACTAGTAATGTCTTGCTTCGCAATCACGTTACAAGAGCTCGTTCGCCAGAGATTTGCCCTGGAATTTTTCCATGATGGACACTATGGATGAAATAGTTTTGTCCAGTCGAGAACATTCCTGCTCGATTTCATCCAAACGAGACTTGGTTTCAGTAACTTGTTCCCGGGCAACTGCAGCCTCTTTTTCTTTCTGAGCTAGATCTTCGATTTTGGATTCCAGTTCTTTCCTTGCTGACTCAAAAGTTCGATCGCACTTGGCCTTTTTCGCTTCGAAAGTTTGACGTTGACTAACGAGCTCAACGGCTTCTGAGATTTCATTGAGCAGAGCACGCAGCCAAGTAACATCGATATGTGCAGATTCTACATCCTTGAGAACAGCAAACATTTCTTTTACTTTTGATTTGGTCAGTTGCTTAAATGGGGTGGAATGCAACTCTTGAACTACAGCACACAAACACTCCAAATAATAAGCTCGCATGGAAGCTGATTCCAACTGACAATTAGCTGCTATGTCTCCATACTTGTCAAAAATTGACTGTAGAATTGAAGAGATACTTGCTTTCACATGGTATTTTCCAACTGATACACAGGAATCAGAGATAACAGATTCGACCTCTTCTTCCTCATCACTCTCTTCTAGAGCTCGGACAATCCCCGAGAAACTAAAGTTTGAGATAGTGGCATCTTCACTCCCACCGTCATTATTTGCATCTGAACTTGCCTTGGGGGAATTTGGAACCTTCTCTGCTTCTTTAAATTTGGTTGGTGTATCAGCAGGTGACTGTCAGAGAGGAAGACATAAAGAGAGGATTCACATAAATACAAAATTAAAAATTACTAATGCTTTTGCATGCAAGTGTGTGCGAGTGTTAGTTTGTCCAAGAGAGAGAGAGAGGGACAAACCATGATTTTCCCAGACATAGGAACTGATTGTGAGTGTTGAATTTGCACCTTGTCAAAAGATTGATCTCGGGAATAAATTCCTTCAGAATGTTGCTCAGAAGAAGAAAAAGACTCGCCATTCTCTGCTTCCATCTTCTTCCTAGAAAAATGAGAACGAGGTGACTTGGGGTCACCAGGGTAAACTGCACCTATGCCAGTAGTTTCAAGTGCTCGAGGGGACTTCGACTGAGATTCTGGTCCCTTCTTTTTCCTGCCAAAACTTCTAGAAGCATCAAGAATTTTTGAACCTACAAGGAAAATACCCTTGTCAGAAACAAGTATCAGTGAATCTGTGCATCTTGAATCAGAAATCAGAAATCATCAAATCTTGAGGGAGAATCCTTAGATGTTAACAAACTGGCGAAAATGCATCTCAAAGTGTATCAGACCAAAAAAATCACCTTAAGGCACAACATTGAGCCAAAACAAATAAAATCTTAGTGTACGACACAACCTAAGCATCACAAGGCTTATGAGGGTGAATTCTTAAAGGACATATAGAAAAAAGAGGGCGCACAACCTGATTCTTCTCTAAGCCCCTGTGTATCAGCATCAGTATTTCTTTTGAAGCAATTTTCATCACATTCATGGTAAGGATTAGATGCTTTTGGGCAAGTTGGATATACTGTTCTCTCCACATCCTTCTTTTTGCTAAGCTCACCTTGTTTTATACCATTGCGAATATCTAACAAATAGAAAAGAAAAACATTTACGCCTATGTTTAAAAAGTGGTCAGGCAAACCCACAAAATACAAAAGTACTAAAACAACAAATCTCTTAATCATCATGAGAAACCTGAATCCTTTCTTTTGAAGCAATTTTCATCACATTCATGGTAAGGATTAGACGCCTTTGTGCAATTTGGGCGCCCTCTTCCCTCGCCATCCTTCTTTTTGCTAAGCTCACCTTGTTTTATACCATTGCGATTATCTAACAAATAAAAAGAAAAAAATATAAACCTAGTTTTAGAAGGAGATCAACAAAACCTAAACAGAATTCAAAACCTTTCTAGTATAATAAAGAACTTCTTTTAATCACTATCGGAAACCTGATTCTTTTCTAACCCCCTGAATATTGGCCTTGGATGTTCTCTGGGGGCAAAATTCATTGCATTCATGGTAAGGATTAGATGCTTTAGGGCAATTTGATCGCATTCTCCCCGCATCATCATTCCTTTTGTTACGCACAACTTCTTTTATACCATTGTGGTTATCTAAAAATTGAAAACGGAAATGAAATTAAACCTGTCTCTTGAAAGTGGTCGACAAAAGCTCATATTTTTACCTTGTTCAAATCATTATCTGTTGAAACTCTGATTAGCAATTAAGATAACAAATTCAAAGTTTGTAGGTGAGGCTTAACATCGTGTCTATATCAGCCAAGCTAAAGTGAAACTAAAACCAGTGGAAAACCAAGTGCTCGAGTACTAATGAGAAAACTAAAATCTTCATACTCTGAACTTAACCAAACCACATTTGATGCAGGAACAAAGATATTGCCAAACATGCCCTTTCTGTGGGAATTCTGCCATTAGTCAAGCTGAGAAAGACATAAATGACATCTTCCTTATACACACAATCTATCAATTATTGTGCTTTAAAGCTATGCCAAAGCAGCCATTGAAGGTTGGAAATCTGGGAATGTGAAATGCTAACAATCAGAATGAAATTGTTTTAATCAACTGCAAGTTCTTTAGTGATGGCATAGACCCAAAGTTCCTCTACATGGATGCTGCACCCAAGAAAATAATCCTACTCTCAATATTTTCACTTTTTAGAGTAATTAGTTTGACAAATCAACTTTTATTAGTTTACTTAAACCATTAGTTAGATTTCATCATCCACCCTGCAACAATCACAGTGAATTGGTTATGAATCAATAGCATATAAAGCTTGGCAGTAAGGTGCTTTCCCATAAACTCCTAAAAGCGTTGGTCGTCATTCAAAATGCAAAAACTATAAGGAAAAATGAGATGATTTGCCACGGAATTGAACAACTTCAATGGCCATGTGGATTGTGCAGAATAACATGTTCTCAAAGATTCAGTTGGCAATAAAGCATGAGGAGGAACATGGATTACCTAATTTCCTTTTATCCTTTTCCTTTCGCCCCTTGCCTTCAGCAATCTTTTCTAGGCAATATACACCACATTCATGGTAGGGATTAGCAGCATTAGCGCAATCTGGGTGTACTCTTTCATTCTCATCCATCTCCTTGTTGGCTTCACTTGGAGCTCTGTAAACTCATAATAAATTAGCACAATATTGTACAAGGAATTCACCAAAAATTTTCTCATGCAATTGAGTAGCAAGCACAAAAGATCCTAGCTTTCTACGATCTTCCACTTCTTAATCAGAACTTTTACCTTGAACCAAGTGTTTGATCCTTTATCTCAAAACCATAATTCTTTTCCAAATTCATAAACAGAATTAAAATTCAATCCACAAGTTCCATACAAAATAACTTGAAGTTACATACACAGGTAGCGACTAGATTATAATTCAAGGAAAAAGATAAAAACTTCTGATGCACCATCCTACCATCTTAAATAATTAGGATTTTCCAAAATTATTGATATCTATAAATCAAGAAAAGACAAAGAACTATATGGGAAATTGAATATCTTTTTATCCAAAATATAAAGCAGCCAGAACTCCACAAAACCCACCCATTTGGTCTTTTGTTAATTTCAAAACCAAAATTTACAAGTCAAGGGTCAAGAAGAACAAGGAAGACCACAAGAGAGGTAGAGAGAAAAAAGACCCAGAAAACTAAACATTCAGAAACTCTACATAACAACTTTCTTTGCATTTTCCTACTCTTTCATCCCTTCCAAACAGAGGACAAAAAAACAAAAGAAACCCAGAAATTATTCCAAAATCTCACCCCATATAAACCACCCAAAGAAAAAAAAAAGAAAAGAAAGCCATGCATGATGTAACAACGCAGAAAAAAGCAGATGGAAACATAAAGGTATAAGCAGTAGGACATGAACAAAGATGAAAACTGAGAAAGAGAAGGCAAGAATACCAGAAAGGAAGATAAGCGATAGAGAGGGAAAGGAGAACCAAAAGGCACTGACACCAGAGACAGAGAATTTATTGTTCAAAGTTTTTCATTTTCTCTTGTGCATACAAAAGTCTGACTAACGAAGGTGTCTGCAATGTGAAAAAGCAAACAAAAAACAGTCTCTTGTCTTCGGGATTGTCGTGCTTTGACCGTCGTGGAGCTCTGATACTTCCTCGTTTATATTGTACAAATCAAACAGGACCATGACAGAGAAATGTTTACAACATGTTTCCATGTAAATATGAGATGTAACTTGAGCCCCAAAGCCTGCTGCTGCCCACCCACTCCTTTCACATTAGCCTCAAATACATATTAGACACGTGCGACTCCTTACTTCCACACGTAGGTCGACCTTTTTAATTTTTAATTTTATTTTTTGTTTGTTAATTGTTGGTTAGGATGAAAGTTGGTGTAACAGCCAAATTTTTCGTTCAACTTTAATTTTTTATATAATATTATTTTATTAATTATTGTTTCTAGTAAGATATTTTGTTTTTTATTAATTTTGACAAGCATGACATTTGAATGATTTAAAGAATAATTATTTGTCGTGATATATGAAAATTTATTTTTTTTTTTTTATAAAAAATGTCAACAAGGGTTGCGTTGCTTAATGCATGACGGCAAAACACATGATGGGGGATATAGAGGAAATTTTTAGAGAATATTGCTGCATTGTGCAACCGAATTTATTGAAAATAATAAATAACAAGGGGATAACTTGGTGCTATTTCATTTTTCTTTAAGTAATATTTTATATATTTTTTCTTAATTAGAACAATGTAAACAATTTATACTCTCATAAAAGATTAGCCTATTAATTTTTTTTAGTAAAATTATGAAAATATCATTAATTCAAAATTAACTTATTTATTCATATTAAAAAATATCTTTTAAATTTTAAAATTAAAATTAATAACACTAGTTAAATTTTGGTACTAATTTAAAGAATCATCAAGTATTATGTAAAAAATTGAAAACGACATAAGATGTAGGCGAAATTTACTCAATTTTCTATAATTGTATCAATTTCTCTTGAGAGGGAGATGTATTTTTATAATGTATTTATGTAACCAATTGTTATGATTTTACTAAATGTGTTGTTACATTCAAATAATTATTTTCTTTTTTATTATAAAATGAAATCAATAATATTGATTTAAGAAAATAATGAAAAAATGGAGGTTAGCAAAGATGTATTGTCACGAATCTTATATTAGAAAAAGATGGTTAAATCTTGAATATATAAACATTTATTTTTTATTATCTATCATATATATCTTTTGAGTTAAAAACGTAATTTTGTGATAAGTAGTAATAAAATAGACTTGAATCTTCATTGATGTGGAGTTCTCATAAAAGATATAAGGATCAAGGTAGACCTAAATTAGTGTAAGAGTTCTTCTCTTTTATGGGCAAAAAGCTAGTGTAACAAGGCGTTGCATAATTAGATAAGATAAAATATTATGGATCTCACATAAAAAAAATATGAGATGGGTTTGAATATACAAATAAAAATCTTCTACCACTTATTAAGCATATGTTTTAGATTAAAAACATAAGTCCATAACATATATGATGGATTTGTATTTAAAACCTAATTAATTGCAAACCTTGCAAACCTTAAGTCCTTGACATACATGTATGCTGGATTTGTGTTTAGATTAAATGCTGAAATTAGGATTAAATATTTGGATTCTTTTTCAATTAAGAGTTAAATGATTTTTTATTTTTTACAATTATGGACACTTTTTCAATTAAGAGTTAAATATTTCAATTGTAATAATTAAGGGCCAAACATTCTTTGATTCTTTAAAATTATGGCCTAAGTTGATAGGTGAATTAAGTATGTATCACATGTAACTGAAAATCGCATGAGCTAATGACATGGCATGTTAGAAAATGTTATTAACACCGTATTCTAAAATTTAATTGTTACATGTCATGTTAGAAATAATTATTCATATTATGTTGAAAATGTAGTTATTATATGTTATATTTAAATTTTAATTATTATGTGTCTTATTGAAAAATGTAGTTATTATACATAATATTAAAAATTTAGTTATTACATGTCATGTTAAAAAATATAATTGTTATAAGTTATGTTAAAAATTTAATTGTTACAAGTTATTTTAAAATTTTAGTTATTACACACTACATGTCACGTAATAATTGAGCCATTTTGATTTGATAAAATTTTTTTTTTGACAAAATTACTCTTTCATATTTTATATGACGAGTCAACGTCTACGTCATATACATGTAAGACATGTATCAAATATATTTTATTTTAATTTTTAATAAAATTTTAAATTATAAAAAATTAAAAATATTATTTTAATTATTATAATTGAAACGTTTAATTTTAAACAAATAAGAATTTAAACATTTTGATCTCAAATTAAATATTTGGTCTTGTATTTAAAATCTAATTAATTGCAAACCTAATTAATGACATCACTTGTGACGCACAGATATTAAATGTTTTTGAAGGCCCAACAAAGGAATGCTTGAGATATGGACCACAGGTACCAGAAAGTCAAAAGGAAGGAACAGAGACCGTGGACTTGTATAAAAAATGCCTTTGACAACTCTTCCCTTAGAAAAGGAGATTGGCAATCAATCATTCAATCAAGCAGTCCAGTTTGTTCTTCCCCATATTAATGGCGAAACCATTACCAGCAACAAATGAGTGATGTTAATTTATCTTACATTTATTATCCCATATTCCATATGGATGAATAAATATAATAATAATAATAATAATATTATTATTATTATTATGTAAATAAAGGAGTAATTTTTTTTGTCTATTCCAACATAATATCAAGAGGAAAATAAAACATTTTCAAGAGAATTTATTTGATTTTTTATTATATTTAATATTTTCAAAACAATAATAGTAAGTTTATTTTTAGAGATGTCAATGGTGAAATACTTGTTATTTTTTTTAATATCTTAAGTTAAATTTTATAAAATATCTGAATTTTGTAAATATTTTATTTAACTACAAGTATTCATACTTTTTAAATATTGAATTAAAATAAATTTAATAAAAATATTTTTTATGTAAATTATTAATAAAAAATAAATTAATAAATTAAAATTAATTGGTAAAAATAAATTAAAATTTAGAATCATAATTAAAACAATTAATAAATTTTTAATAGTTTCACATTAATTATGAATAATTTATAAACAAAACATAATAAAGTTTAATATTAAAATTCATCATTTATAATTGTATTTAGATAGTGAATATCCTTAGACTACTACTTGAACTACACACAAATCGTGACGAGTAATTGTTTTACCATCTAAATCCGATTATAAAAACCTTTAATCTTATTTAATTAAATATAATAATATAAAATATTTTATTAGAAAATGCTTATTGACATCTTGCTTTGTTAATGGTTTTGAATATTATTAGATGGACATTTCAAATTAAAAAAAGGAAAAAAATTTGACAACACAAATAATTGGTTGGCTGTGGTTTGTTGAATGTTAAAAGTTAGTTGATGTGGACATGAGCGGAGGAAATTAAGGCCATGGATTTGGCGGAACTATGTGGACCAATTAATTCATAAGGTTCCTCAAAAATAATAATAATAATAATAAAAAAGAAACAAAGCTGGGTGGGGTTGGAACTTTATAGGCTAATAAATTCTACCCACAAAGAACTTGATTGGAATGGGGCCGTGTCTGAAAACTTATAGCCACCGGCCCACTATGGTCTATGGCCCCCCTCTCCCAGCTAGTAATGAATATTCCAAGCCGAATGGGGGCAGGGTCTGGGCACGTGTCTAATCCCTACTGCCTGGTAAATAACGTGCAGTGCCGCTATTGCATTAACATAACCGTGTGAATGAATCATACAACCTGCTGAATTTGCGTATTCAGAATGCGAGTCTCTCTATTATTCCTCTCCTCTCGGGATTTAAATTAGACTCTCAAATTCCAAACAGTTAAAAGTAACGCTTAAAAATTTTTTTTATCGATTAAAGTAATGATATTTTGAACATATAATAAATATAATAAGTACCTCTCAATTTATTGTCAATTGAATTTAAATTTGATATATGTTGTAAAAATTTAACATAATATTAGAGTAGATATTATCTCTATTTATTAATTTTTATTAAATATTTTTTAATTCATATCACGTGATATATCTTTTATTTTTATTATGAACATATAAATATAACAAATTTAAGATAATTCGTATCTTATTAGTATATGTGAATATGATGTTGTTTTATTTTATTTTCTTTATATATATATATATATTTTTATTTTCCAGCTTTTGTTCTTGATGAACAGTGAAGCTTTCCTCCAAATGGGGGACAACCAGGATCTTGGGATTTCTCTCATCTCAACGCAACTGCCAATGCATAGCTTAGTTTTATTCTTTCTTAATTTGTTGCGAAGTTGTGAGAGTGGTTGAGACACGAGAGAATATGTAACCATAACGAATGAAAAAGCTTGAAAGAGTTAGTTAAGGTTTTACACGCCATCTTAGCTCATGCAATATGCTCCTGCCATCATTCCAATATATCCTTCTCATTCTTTCAGCCCAAGAATATATAAATCTAAACTTCTTTTCTCATGCAAGCCCTGCATTTCACCTACCAAGTAACAAAAACAAACCCAAGCTTCATCTCAGCATAATATTGTTAGTGTCCTTTAGATCTTTGTTTTTCTCGTTCAATAAGAAGCTATACTCTGATAACTTTCTGAATTTTTTGAGATGGGAGTTTAAGGATGAGGTAAGTCATGTTGCAGTGGATGATGATGCAGTTAACCATTGCTATCAACTCAACCCTGGATGCATCTCTACTTGTCCCTTTGTTCTGTTTTCTATTCTTCGTTTGTTAATTTTTTTTTTATAATTTTCCAATTTTGTTCAGTCAAAAGAAGCAGCAACAACAATTTTGGAACTAAGAGTAGACACGGTAACCTGCCGGGTCTGTTTTCCCTCTTTTGGTCTCTGGTTGCTTGTGAGTGAACTATAGAAAAAGTTTCTAGATTTGTTAGTAAGGTTTTAGAAGGTAGAAACAGTTGATGGATTCTTCTGCATGCGGTTTCTTGGTTTCCTGACAAGTCCTAGCTGATACTGCGATTCTCTCATCCCTTTCCCTCAGTGAATCATTGACGGTTAAGATGAATATTTTCCAACACCTCCTGGAGAGACTAAGACAGCTAGTGGGATCCAAAGGATGGGATTATTGCGTTCTCTGGAAATTGAGTGATGATCAAAGGTCAGAATATATAAATCATAAACTGCAATGATATGTGTGTGTAAATCCATCTATGTTTCTCGTCCTCTCCAATCTATTGTTTTGTTGATTGGTTTAGGTTTATTGAGTGGATGGATTGTTGTTGTGCTGGAGCTGAGAACATTGACAGCGGTGGAGAACTTCAATTTCCTGTCACTCCAGTCCTTCCTTGCAGGGATGTTATGTTCCAGCACCCAAAAACCAAATCCTGTGAACTGCTTGCCCAACTTCCCTCTTGCATGCCCCTGGACTCCGGGTACTCGCTTACTGTTTCCTCTTTTCTTCCTCTTTCCATATCTTTATGAGTGGTTGTCGAGTTTAAGTACTTCCTGAGATCATAAACAGGAGCCATGCACAGACCTTGATATCAAACCAACCCAAGTGGTTAAACTTCTCTAATAACTCAGATTCAAATGTTTTAGAGGTCAGTACATTTAAATAATTAATCAAGCACCTTCGACTATCCCTCCACATACCAAAATCTAAGCTGATCTTTTCTTCCAACCTTTGCAGGAAATAGTTGGAACTAGGACTTTGATTCCAGTTGCAGGCGGTCTAGTTGAGCTGTTTGTTGCCAAACAAGTACTACAATATTTCTTTTCTTATTCCTCTTTCTGTTACATTTTCCCTTTTAATCCTGCGACACCGTTTTTTGTAAGCTGTATAGAATAGCATTTTATCATTTGTTTCTTACTATGAAAACCCTCTTCCTATGATCATAAATGGCAATTGGTCGATTGTTAATTTCTGAAAACAGGTATGTGAAGATCAAAATGTCATAGATTATATTGCCACCCTCTGCAACATCTCATTAGAGCAGGGCGGAATGATGAACTCAAGCAGCATGGATGCACATTTTACCGAACTAAACACCCAAGCACTGAATGAGCTTCAACCAAAGCATCATTTAGGCAATGAGGATGATCAAAAGGATCCCACCAATCATTTCCAACAACCGGTTTCTTTGGCAACAACACTAGAAACACTAAACCTACCATATGACATCTCTGCTGATCGAATTCGATCATGCAATTCGCCAACGAACTCCCTGCAGCATTATAATTACCTTTCAGAACATAAAACCAAGATTGATGTGTATGTTGAAGGATCCCACGATGCATTCCTTCCTGATCACAAGGTTGCTAGCCCGTATAATGATAATGAACTTCAAGAGATGGATCCATTGAACTCCATTCTAACCAATGAATCAATCCTAATCCAAGGAAATGATAAGGACTCGATTAAACAAGAGAATGGACGATCAGATTCAATGTCGGATTGCAGTGATCAGAATGATGATGAAGATGATGCAAGGTACCAAAGGCGGCCAGGATCAAAGGGGCCTCAGTCCAAAAACCTTGTTGCTGAGAGGAAAAGGAGGAAAAAGCTTAACGAGAGACTCTATGCTCTTCGCTCTTTGGTTCCCAAAATTTCTAAGGTAGTTATCCCTGTCTAAGTACATTATCTACTTGATTCCCTTTTCATAGTACTTGTTTCCTTCTTTTATGACCTTTGTCTTAATCTTTTGTCACCATGAAGAACTAGATTGAGTTCTGACGGTAGCTTTAGTCCAAAAATCTTTTGATATGTTGTCGACTGTTTATTCTTAGTTGGATAGGGCTTCCATCCTTGGAGACGCAATTGAGTTTGTGAAGGAGTTACAAAACCAAGTAAAAGAACTACAAGATGAGCTTGAGGAACATTCGGATAATGATGGTTCTAAGAAAACAGGCCTGAATGGAATCCACAAGAATGTTCAATCTGAGATTTTCTCACAAAATGAAATCGCTGTGGATCCTAACCCTGAACATGATAAAGGACCGAATGGCTTTCCAGTTGGAGGTAATGGCAGTGTCTCAAAGCAAAAGCAAGATGTGGAAATTACAAGTGACAAGACACAGCAGATGGAGGTAAATCAATACGTATATTCTCGTCTTCCCAGTTGAAGTTTAAATTGCAATTTCATGGGTTTTCATTTCTTAAGAAGGATGGAAAATGTTTAGGTACAAGTGGAAGTTGCTCAAATAGATGGAAACCAGTTTTTCGTTAAAGTATTCTGTGAGCACAAACCTGGAGGGTTTGTGAGATTAATGGAGGCTTTGGATTCATTGGGCTTGGAAGTAACAAATGCGAATGTAAACAGCTTCAGAGGCCTTGTGTCAAATGTTTTCAAAGTAGAGGTAAGATATCCTTGAAGACTAAATTGCATCTTGCTTAAATATTTATACACACACATCCCGTACTAACTGAACTTACTTTTTGGTGGCAGATAAAAGACAGTGAGATGGTTCAAGCTGATCATGTGAGGGACTCCTTGCTGGAGCTGACCCGAAACCCTTCCAAAGGTTTGTCTGAGATGGCAAAAGCTTCGGAGAATAACAACGGCATTGATTGCAATTATCACAAGCAGCAGCAGCAGCTTCAGCATCACCTCCACAATCACCATATCAGTTCCCACCACCGCCATCTCCACCACTTCCAAAAGCAATTGGCATGACCTTCCTCAAGCTGTGCGTAAGAAAGGGTCTTTGGACCTTGTATCCCTTTCCTTATAATATGTAAGCTAATCATCAGGAGATTTCTTACAATAATACTAGGAGTAACACCCTCACCACACCCACCACCCCCCACCCCCCCCCCCCCCCAAAAAAAAAAAAAACTTGTTTTAGCAGAAAGATCTACTTATATATGCTTTCTGCAGGCATTTCAATATACAAATACCATTAGTACTTGACATGTTTGATTAGTATATATGTTAGGTGAAATGGCTGCGTAAAGGTTATGATGATAGTCAGACCCTGGCACAGGGTTAAGATGGCTAAAAATGTTAGGGGATAAACAGTAACTGTATTAACTTAAAGAGTTCACATTTAAAGTAATCAATTATGATGGGTCAATAATGGATAAAAATCATTTTAAGGGAGGTAATCGTCAAAAAAGCAGAAAGTAGTGCCTAAACTGCAATTTTTAATCAACAAAATACATTGAGTAGAATTCCAGATGCAAAGAGGAAGAGGCTCAAACTCCATCTTTCAAAGGCATAAGTGCTACCAGATTTGGCTGATGGAGTTGGCCCCAAATTAGTACTGGTGTTTCCTGCTTTAACATCAATTCCAAACCTCATACCCCCAAGGCAATGGCCACTTATGTTGCAGACGAACCAATACTTCTTTGATTTGGTGAGCTTGACTTGATCATCTCCAGTCTCATACTTGGCTAGGACTCCACTGCTCGTATTACATGATCGGTATGTAGCCTCTGTCACTTCAAAGGCATCGTGTTGCCCCTTATTATATTTAAACTCTACAAAAAAATACAAACCCAAAATAAGATTCTGAACCATCTGCTCTGTTGTGTAGAAATATATAGTTGCTGATTGATATGTATGTATATATTTGTTGACATATTTATATTTGAAAACCTCCATAGATAAGGCAATTATGTGGAAAAGGTATGGATATGTTCACAACCATATTGACCAAAAGCAGATTTTCCTCATACTAAAGACGAAGGCAGATAATTTTCTAGATGACGCTTAGAATCCATACCAAACATATCTCTTCATCCTAAGATTAACTACTTTACTTTGGGACAAGATTATTTGCAAACTTTAATAAACCATATAGCTGAAACCAAATCAGAAAAAGTTTTAAAGGGAACAGATTATACCTAGAACATCGTCAACGCTGAAATTGTATTTCCGTGACCAGGAAACATAGTCTACCTCTGAGTTCCACCCCTCCTCATCACCAACGTTGTAAACTTCAGATGTGGTACTCTTCAAGAAGCAAAAACAGATCATAAGAATGATTGGGAAGAGACTACAATATCTGACAGTCTTGTCTTCCATAGCTTTGAAAGCAATGAATATGATGGAAATAATGGAAGGCTTGCTGAAAACCATTGAACCAACCTAGACATTTCCTATGGTTGAAACCTTTGAAAGCGGTATATTCCCCCTTCTTAGTTTTTATCAATTCCATCGAGTTGGGGTTGTCACCATCACTTCTTATAAATTATAGGACAAATAGTAAGATACAACTGGCACCAAATCATTGATCGAGGACTGGATTTTTTTTAAAATGTTTATACCGGTGGCCATGCCTGTTCTTACTACCATATCTTATATTAAGGTTTAGAACTTTTCAAAAGTAACAAAAAGTAATTGATCCCAAAGCTCCAAATATATGGCAGCCCGCCAATGAAATGAAAAGTTAAATGAAAGTGTAATGAAATTTGTAAGCAATAAGATTGTTGCAGGGATGGATGTGCTGTCTATGATGATTGACGGTAGAAGATGCTTCAAACAAAAGATACATTTGTAAGTCTTGATGCCTTAAAGTAACAAGGACAAGACAATATGGCATGAATTATAAATGAAGCATTTCCCCATTCTAACTCTATTTTTTATATAAGAGGTAGGTATGCAATATACAAGTAGTTGCACCACCCATGATGTTGGTGAAGAAAGGGGACTACAAATTAGATAACAAATAAATAAATTAAATGGGTTCGAGGGCCATTGGATAGATCTAATGGATGCACCTAAGGGAAATAGGAGGCCTATTGAGTAGGTCCAATTTGTTCTCCACAGGTAAAAGAGGAAGCTAACGGTGTCGTTTTGGGTTCAACAATGGAAAAGTGAAAACAGCAATCTATCTTTTGGCCTTAACTCCTAACGCCTAAACTGAAAATGAACCCAAAACCCTAAACCACCGCCAAAACCCCTCCCACTGTCTTTACTTTCTTATACAAAATCCAAAGAAGGTTAAAGGATGGCTGCTTTACGTGGAGGCCGATTCAAGGAGCTCTTGAAGAAGTACGGGAAAGTGGCGCTGGGGGTCCACTTCGCAGTCTCTACAGCCTCCATAACCGGACTTTACGTAGCCATTAAGAACAACGTCGACGTCGAATCGTTGTTCGACAAGTTACATCTCCCGGGCCTTTCCAAAGACGAAAAGAACCAAAACCCATCCCCGCAATCCCCAAACCCAGATGGGTTTGTGATGGTAGAACCCACTGAGAAATCACCGGTGGTGGTTGAGGAGAAAGAAAGGAATCGAACGGCTGAGCTCGCCGCTTCCACTGGTGGGGCCCTAGCATTGGCTGTGCTTTGTAACAAGGCCTTGTTCCCAGTTCGGGTTCCGATCACCATCGCGCTTACTCCTCCGGTGTCTAGGTTTTTGGCCAGGAGAAGGATTATTAAGAACCGTGTATGATTCACCTTTTCTTTTCTTTTTTAATTTATTGAATTTTTTTAAAAAAAAGTTCTTTATTTCCTCATATGCTTGTGACACTGTGAATGGTTTCTTTTGTCATTTTTGGTGTCGGTTGGCGAAATTGAGGAATGGAGAAGAAAGATGGCGGTAGCTTGTTTAAAGCTACACCTGTTGTTTTTACATTTGAAAAAGGACAATAATTTTTGCAATAATAGTTTTACTTAGTACTGTACTATATTTCTGCTGTTGTTGAGCATGGATTTTTATGGTTATTATTGAGAATATGGAAGGGAGAAATTGTGGTACTTGAGCTAGGATTGGTTTAAGATCCCAGTGGAAAGAAAATGGTTGTAGGTGAAGATGACACTTGACTAGGAATTGGATGACAACCCTTGAAAATCATTCACGTACCAAATGTTTGAAAGGGCGGAAAAGAGTTGCTTCAGTTAGCTGCTAAATTTGGTCGAAGTAATTTTTGTCTCTTCATGTGGCCAGTAGAAGCAGGTTTAGGATTCATTGCACAATGCCACTACCTGCCACCTCCGAGTTCCTTTAATCAGGTGTAATTTGGATTAAGACACAACTTTCTGCTGGAATGTTATGTTTACCCAGGTATTTTTTGAAGTTTGTAAGCATGTATGTACTTCCGGACAAAGGAGGCTGGTCGGGGTGGGGGGGCGGTGTGGTGTGTTTGGAGGAGGAGCCATGGCTTTATGCGCCGTGATGACTTGCTAACACGGACCGAGAGTGGTCCGAGTCCAAGGAGTTTGCATTGCATATATAGATTCATATCTCTTACAAATTAACTTCGAAAGAGCAGATGTTTACAGAAGTTTAAGTTTTATCTAACCAGTGCTTTTTATTATTTATCAATAATGGTTGATGACCAACTCAAGCATTTTAATATTCAAAGGCAGCCCATCCATTCATTTACCTTATCATTAAGACATGAACGTAAAATTCTTATAAAGAGCATTGGTATAGAATTATGTCTAATCTATCTATTAGCTTGCTAATGTTTTAAAAATTGACAAATGTCGGGTTCGAGTCTGCTGTTATAGAGACTTGTACGCTTTCTGGTACCCAAATCGAACATATTTTTGTACCGTAAAAGAGTCTGCCGTTCTGATTAAAAACGGCAAGTTGCGCGGGTTAGCGTAGCTCATATTTATGGCTCTCATCAGAAGCATGCCTCTGATCACGCATCTATAGTGGCTTTTCAGCATCGTATCTATCAGAACAAGAAATACAGTAAACGAAATCTGATTCAGATAAAAGCAAATTAACTCAATAATATTCATGACAACGTCTATGAACATACAATGAAACTCTAGAGGTAGGATACTCTTTTCTTTCAATTCATCATTTGAAGTCAACAGTCAATCCAAAACCCTGACTGTCTTCCCATTCCTAAAGTACTAAAAGAAATCTGTAAACAAAAAGTTAGACGCAAAATTCACCCAAATGAAGTGAAGAAATAAGAGGAGAAAAGTCTGCACGCATTTTGAATCTTCTAAGTTAGTTTTTTAAAAAAAAAATCCAAAAGACAGAAAAGGAACCCTGCGATTTGCTCCAAGAAACTCCAGCTCCTAGAGTTTAGAAGGCTTCCAAACAAGACAGAAGAATGTTTTACCAAGTCCTATAAACAGTCATAGAGCATGATAGAGCCTTTACATTGACAAATACCTGGAATTTGGAAGTACCAGCACTGACCTTGTTGCTTTGGTGGCAATGCTGAGTAGTTGTCTTTCTTTTTTATCTTTTTTTCTTTTCACCAATGAGTAGTGTTTAGAACCCACCACTATGATTGCTGGAAATGCTTAAATTCCTGACAATCAGCTCCAACTTCATTAAGTGCCAACAAAAGCTTCGGTACAATCTTGCCTAACATCAGCTTGAAACCAACTGAAGTGGAGTTTGCATTGTTCGCATCACTATAAGAGGCATCTTTAGTTAGAGAGCCAATTAAGTAGCCTTTCATGTATGCATCACAGGCTTTAAGGATGTAATAACCACGTCTCCTGAAATGGTCTCTGACAAGTTCTTTAAAGTCCTAGAGATGGTCATAAAGTTATACAATTAATCATTTACATCTGAAAAAGAAAGACGGAAGCAAGAAAATGCCTACTACATCTTGAGAATATAACAAGCATTACTGAGCAAGAAAATGACTTTACGATGTCAGTTGAATCTATTGCTGACTATTCATAATTACCATGTTAGGGTTCAATACATCAGCACCAAACTTTAACAGGAACCATTTGACCTTTAATTTCACTCATCGGATCCATTAAAAAAACAATGAAATCTACATATTCTAGACACTAAGAAACTAAATATAATGTGCCAATGCTTAAAAACCTCCATACGCCTATGAAATCTTAGCAGATAACTCCCAAAGCACCAGAGGACAGTAACTGAATAAAAGGAACATACAACTGAAATGTAATAATCACCTTTGGGGGCTTCCGCATGAGATACATCATTGACTTGCAGTTCAGTAAGAAAGTATTCTCATTGTATGCTAATGAATTTTTCTCTCCTTCAGCTGTTCCAACCTGCTTATCGTACCCAGCTTCATTGAAATATGGCTTAGAATTTAGCACTAACCCCTGCAGTGAAACTAGGACTTGAAGGATGCTAGAGGACGATGAATCCCAAACTTCGTTTCCCCTGCCAGTCCATGTATTTAGAAGGCTAAGGCACACCTTACCTTCCTCATACAAATTAGGATTTATTCTCCAACCGCCAGAATGATAGTATGCTGACTGCAGCATCAAAACCCCATTCAAAGGAAAACAACATGAATTGTTTATCCTATAAAACATTCATTTTCAAGAAGTTCAGAAGTTATAATTCTCTGAATTTTAAAAGATGAAGGAAAACGTATTTCAAGATTTTTAAGTAATGGAATTTGGGCCCAGTAGCAAGGCCTGACATGATGGTCATCATACCTTCTCCTAAAAGAAGTATCATGTTGGAAAATCTTTCCCCAAGAAGGAGATGAAGGGAGGGGGAGGAAGACATACAGAGAAGTTCCTTAATCTTACCGGTGGCACATCTGGATACTCAGGAGGAAGGTGGAAATCAAAGAAGAAGAGACCATCTTGATAAGGTGTCCCATATGCCCCAACTATTACAGCCCTCAAGAGGTCCATCCGATCCTCATATACTCGTACGCAGATTCCATCTGTTAAATAGTTATAACTGGTTAAAACAAAGGTTGCTAAAGCCAAGGACATAAAACCTTTTGATACACCTACACCACACATTCCTTACCTGGCAGGTTGTTCTGAAGGATGTTCCAATCTTGCTGCACCTTCTTTAGCCACTTTCTTCCAGTACTATTCTGCAAGCATAATTAATGTGGGAGGGTTCAAAATCCTAAAGCCATAACTACGTGCGTGAAGTCCCAACTGGGTAACGCTATACATTACTGTTACTAATAACACTATTGCAGAGCAAGTCAACACTTTCAGAACATATGATATGACATAACGGCTTAATTTAGCATTGCATGTAAAACGGGGAGAAGTAATGAAAAAACCTAAAAAATTTACCAACAAATACAACATATCAATAGATTAGAATCTCCTCAAGCAATAGGCTATCTTCGTTAAAAAAAGAAGTTCTTTTATCAATGATTCAAGTCTATGCTATAAGTCTATGACATGGCTTTCCAAGTTGCACTGCAATATATCTGTGCACATATTAAATACACAATCAAATTAAAGGATGATCCAAATCATACTATGATAGCACAAAAAGTCTTTCTCCAAAGATTATATTTCATGTCCTTAATGTTATAACTTGAGACAACAGGGTAAGCTATTTATGTTACAATATTTACATATAAAATTTCATATACCTGTCCATTTGCACCAAGAAAATAATGATCTAGAGGATCTTTAGCTGTATCAAACCGCTTGAAACTGCAAGTATCATCCTCATCACCTGTTTTAGAATCTGAGTCTTCAATCCTCACATTGTATAAAACTTCTGCTGGAAGTGAACTTTCGTGGGCCTTTTCTTCAACATGTTCCTCTCCTTTCTCATTAATGCTTTCCCCACTGAAATTATCAAGAACATTAGACTTTTGAGAGCTAGACTCATAGCTGAAATCTCTTCCCTCAGGCTGAAGTTCAGTTTCTCCTTTGAAATCCAAATCAATTGGATCAACATTTTTTCGTCTTCCTGAAAAAAATCCACTGGCCAGTCTGGTGACAAAATCAAATGCAGCTAAAGGAAGTGATAATGCTGCATTCCTTCCAGAATTATTCTCCATACCCTCTTCAACTTCCGAAACAATGCTGCTGGCATTTTGTGGTTCCGGATCCTGAACAAAAAATACTCACATCATTCACTCAATTGAGAAACAAAATACATGAATTAATAGACTTAAGATATCATAAGAATATACTGACAGTTCCACTAGCATGATGCATAAGAAGTTTAATGATCATGCACTTGCAGCAGGCATCTAAATAAAATTTTTCCAACCATCTGATGGTCCTACTTAAAATTTAAGGCAAGATAAAATTTCTTTCCAAACATATGGTCATTAATCCATCAAATTTTTTGCTCTCAGAGTTCTAAATCTCAACCTATTCAGCTTATCTGAGAGCACATTGTTGCTCATAAAAAGTGCTTCAAAACAAAGTGCCAAGATCAACTATTGTTTCGATGAAAGCCTGCTTGCAAGTAATTGATGTATTGACATGAAACTGATTTAATATTTATGGACTCCCACACCACTGTTTCAAACAGAAACAAACCTCTTGAGCATTCTCAAGAGCATCCATCTCATCATCATTAACCGTTTCCCAACTAGCAGCATCATCACTTACTTCACTCCCAGCAGCAATTGACTCATCATCATCTCGGCCAACAACATAAATTGCTTGAGGTCCAACCTAAACAAACCAAAAGATCAATCTGTCAAAACAATAACTATGCTCCTCCACAGGGAGAAAAGGCACAGTAAGAAATAGTTATCACTAATCATCACACAATGGAATATACAATTAGTTAAGATATTCCTAATAATAAGCTGAAATAAACAAAATATAAGTAGCGTTTGAAATATCTACAAATTACAATAATCTAAAAATGTCATCAGAAACCTTCTCTAAGGTTATAATGCTTATAGTTACCCTCCTAACGCCAATGTACAGAATAAATCACTCAAAAGAACAAAACAGAGTTTTTTCATCCCCACCGAAATAACCATATCCA